GTGATATTGACTTAAATTTTATTTTTCCAGACATAAATTCTTTTATGCTGATTTTTACTAGTATTGATTTTGCTTTTCATGACTATTTTATAGTTATCTATGTGGTTTTATTTACAGCAATTTTTATCTCATGGAAACAGCCTATTTCACATTTAGTTTTATAAACTTTAGTTTTTAGTAGGCAAGTTTAAGCTACTAAATTTAGTTGAGCTTTTGTCTATTACCTCATTTTGAGTTTCAGATGACAATGCTTTTTTTATTACTATTATTCTTTTTCTTTGCTTTGTATTTGCTTGGTAAAGTATGCTCTTTTTTCCTTAAATTTGCTTTGAAGTAATTTTGTTGCTTATCTGTTTGTTTCGCTTTCACATCTGCCCTTTCTACTGGATATTCCTAATCTTCATCTAGATTTCATCATGGGCAGCTGTCGCGAGCCGCAACGTCAGGATCCTGCCAGCAGGTCCCAAACCCAAGGGAAGAACAACAGGAGAGCAAACAGTCTCACAGACTTAGTTCCAGGCTCATGCTTTCTTCGTAGCAAGGCCCCGTTTATTTTTCAGGGTGGGGTATATATAGGCTAAAACTGAAACCAAAAGTGTAAACAGGGTGTAGCCGACTACAAAGATCACAAGGTTCTACAAAACAAGTATTATAGGTTACATTTGCTAGGCAACAGGTCAGACCACCAGTTGAACTAGCCCATTACTAGGGGCGACAGCACATCCGTGCCGGCGAGGTGACTCAAAGTTCAATCATGGCTGTGCCTATGTCAAGGCTAACCATAAAGGCTCACCATATGCAGCCATATTGAAAATGTGGCAGCTGCGACTCAGATCAGCAACCTAGTCAGCACAGCTCCTGGTCGTGCAGCTGGATCTATTTTGCCACCTTTCTGCTCCCCAGGAAAGACTTGTAGAAAATTTTACCTATATGTCATAAGTTGGGATGTCCACCCAACCTCTCAACAACTGCAATGGAGCACTCATTCCTCTTCACTTGGAGTAACCAAAACCTTGGAACTACGGCAACTTGACATTCAAAGTGCTGAAATGTTTCACCTTCTACACTGTTCATAATTTGTCTTTTCTGTTCTATTCCATGCCTATAGAAATGATTGTCATCTATTGAGTCTAGCCATGTCTTTTCCAATATCTTTCCCTCTTGCTATGTCATTGTAGCACAGATGCTATCTTGACCCAAAGACTCTCTGTTCTCTTTTTATAATTCTATGAGGATGGCCTAAACACTGACCTATCTCTGTCATGCCATCCCTTTTGATTCTCAAAAGACATTTTTTGGAAGTCAGAAAGCTGAACATTGACTGTTTCTTCTTTTCATTTTCTCTCTAATGATCTGCTTATGCTCAAGGCAAGGTATATGCCTCTAACTAAGAAGAAAAAGGTTACAATAGAAAAGAAGTATCAAATGTTCAAAAAATCAGTATTTTGACATGCTTTCCATATATGTCCTTAATAGGAATATGCTTCAAAGAAGAATATGCAACCTTCAGTGCATGGAATTGAACAATGACCACCCCAGAAATAACTACTGAGACTGAATTATTATGGAAAATAGACTTCCTCCAGCATCTTCTAATACCACTACACTCTGAGTCCAGGAGCTTGAGAAATATTTTTTTAAATGGGTACTGTTTAGGCCTTGTTGCCTCTGAAGAGGAAGAAGTAGGGAGTAAGAATAGCTCATGCCTCTGTGTCAATAGGAAAAGAGGGGTATTATTGTACTGAGTGAGGTGACTAGCTTTGATTTCCAAGGATAAATTGGGTTGCTCTTGCACAATAAAAGTAAGAAACAATATTTCTGGAATAGAAGCAATCCCTTAAGTTCCACCATGCCCTGTGAATAAAGTCAATAGAAAACTACCACAACCCAATTAAAGCAAGACTGCTGATGGTTCACAACCTTCAAGAATGAAATTTTGGGGCAATTTACCAGGCAAAGATCTATGACTATCTGAGGTGCCCGCCAAGGGTAAAGGAAATATGGCAGCAGGAAAAGGTGCTTATACATATTATGTATATTATGTGACTGGACACATAAAGTAAGATTTTAATGACTGTTATTTCTCTTGCATTTTGTTGTGTGTGTTTGGGGTGTGTGTATGTGGGAGTATACAGCAAATATTTATATTTCTTTTCCTTTCTCATCCCTTACCATGCAAAACAGATGTGTTATAAGTTTTCACATCATTGCATTTAAATTTCAGTATATTAAAGAAAAAAGTGAATATTGTCCAAGCACTTTACCACTTTCTAGAGAAAGGATGAGTATTTTCAGTTTTAGGCTTCATAAAGAAATTATGTTAGATGGAAATATATGTGTGTTACTGTACTTACTGGCATATTAAATATGATTTAAAGACATGGATATGAGCAACTTGATAAGTCATGGACTGTGATGGTCACTTTTACATGTCTACTAAGTTAGTCCATTGTCACCAGTTATTTAATCAGCAGGTACTCTAGATGCCCTTGGCTAATACCAATGGGCAAAGGAAAAAGAAAAGCCAGAGGGCTGGGGTGTATCCCATGCTAGGTTACCTGCTTGCCATGCCCAAGACCCTAGATTGGATCCCTAGCTCTGAAAAAATGAAGATAAAAATTTTAAAAAATAGGATACATGATTATTCTTCAGTGAAATACATCAATCAGTAATTAATAAGCATAATTTCAAAGAGAAATGGGAAAAAAAGAAAACCAAATACCAAATCTTTTCATGTTCCCTTTCTTAAAAGAATTCATCTTCTAGCCTGACATGGTGGCACATGCATGTAATCCCAGCACTTGGGAGGCTGAGTCAGGAGGATCGCTGTGAGTTTGAGACCAGCCTGGGCTACATAGTGAGTTCCATGTCAGACTCAACTACATAGTGAGACCCTGTCTTAAAAAAAATTCATCTTCTAAGAAAGGATTCTATATCATATAGATTAGTATAGTTGCTTGATATATTTAATCTTTACCAAGACATGTAAGGGTGAGTAATGGGGATACTCAGAGCTTTTAAATGCTGGGGTCAGCATAATCCCAAAGGATACAGTTTCAAAGGGCATAATACAAAATGTTGAAATCCTAATGGGTCAAAATGCTGAAAGTTTAAAATCCCTACAAATCACAATTCCAAAAGATTAAAATACTGAATGCCGAAATACTAAAAGCCCAAATCCCCAAAACTACAATTTCCATTGACAAACAAAGGTTCCTATAGAGTGATAAAAAGCCAAATTCTGAGGAAAGGCTTAGTGCATTTTTTATTGTATACAGCACAGTTGCCAAATTATTCTGTTGTGTATTATTTCCCCTCCTTCATATAAAGCACCATCTTGCCTCAAAAAGCACCCTTGCTGAGAGAATACAAGCATTTGAAGAGTTCCCAACTTTTTAAAACAGACACTGGCTGAGATAGAGGCTCTATTGGTGTTACAAAACTCAATATATGGTGAACAATAGTTTACCTTGATTAGGGATTTGACCATCAAAAACATAAACTTCTTACATTTACTATTAAATCTAACATAGGAAAATTAGTTCATGCTGCTCTTTTCCTAATAGGTGGCATTATCAAAATTGTTCCCACTGATTTATTTTGTACCAAGTATATAAATTTATGTCTCTGTTGGTTCTGAAGACTCTAGAATTTATCTACTTATATAGGCATTAATGGCTAGAAAAAAAAGCACTTTACAAATGCCTGTTGAAAGATTTAGGGACTTTACAGGAAAAAAAAAAGAATTTCAATAGAATCACCAAAGAAAAATGTCAGTCTTGGAAGTAAGGTATAAATCAAGTCCTCTAAAAGTAAATTTCAAGGTGTTATCAGTAAAGTTTGTTTTTATTCCTTGCAATCCAAGGCATTTTGCAGAAAATTCAGTTCAGTGGACTTACCATGTGATACAGCAAGGACAAAAACTTTTCTTTAAAAATTGTTTGCAGGGCTGGGGATTTAGCCCAGTGGCTCTGCCACCTGCCTTGCAAGCACAAAGACCCAAGTTCAATCTCTGATTCAGAAACAAAAAACAAACAAACAAACAAAACATGTTTGCGCTGGCATTTCTCCTGGCTGATGAAATTCCAGAAGCCTTTAATAAATTAAAGCCACCTCTGCTTGAAGAAACCATAAAAGTGACTGACTGGTTTGAAAATAATTCTGTGCCTGGTACAATGAGACATACTCACCCAGTAGTGCGGCTGATTGATCAACAGAATTGTTTCCACCAAATACTTGGTCTGTATATGAGTGCATGCAGAATGGATATCTATGTTCCCCAAACAACATAGAAGTATGGTGTAGAAGATGGGAAAACTTAATAGGGAATGCACATGTCAGTGTATATGGAAAGAAAACGAAAGAGAATGTATTCTTCTAGGAGAACCGTGTCCTAAAAGAAAAACAAATGAATTAAAAACAATCTATTCACTGTGATGAAAGGCTTCAAAATGTTATGGTTATGAAAGTCAGCAAGTTTTTGTGATGTGACCTACCTCTGTGTGATGGCCTACGATAAAACTTTGTAACAGACTTTTTAAGATATTTAACTTTCTGTCTAGCTTTGTAAGTTTGTTTGTTCCTTTGGTGTTTTTTTTTTTTTTTGGTGTTTTCCCATTATTTTTAAATGTGCATGATATTTCTACAATTCACTATGTGACATACTTCATCTGATTTGTTTTCAATGATAAATCATCTCCAAATTTTGCAGTGAATTATGTGAAGACTTAAATGGAGTGCTAATTCATCATATGCTTTACTTTATGGCAAATTTGACATCCTGAATATCCAATGTTGTGTTTACTGTAATATTATGTTATGTGTAAAGTATGGCTCCTATATATATTAAATGCTGAAACTTTCTCAAAAATTGAGAGGCCCTTTTTGTACATCTGCATTTGTGACAGGTAAAAATTCTTGAGAGCTCAGAACTTTTGGGTGACTGCATATTTGGTGGTAACCCATCACAGTCTCTTATCAGTCTTGTCAAAAACAGGCTGGTGCTTTCTTTGGCAGCACATATACTTAAATTGGAATGATTCAAAGAAGATAAGCATGTCCCCTGCACAAGGATGACATGCAATTTCATGAATCATTCCATGTTTTTTTTTCTTTTTATTGAGTTTATTAGTACATTCTAGGTATACAGTACAGTTACATTCATTACTGGGAATTTGTACCTCTACATGACAGTCATTTTTTTTCCCCTTGTCCCTGCCCTCCCTTCACCTCCTCCTCTCCTCCCCATTTACAAACACTTTATTTCCATTTTTTCATTCCATATTTTTAAATTTTCCATATTGAAGGTTTATTTATTACACACATATTTTGGGCTGGTCCTCAATTTTGATCTAGTTCATGCAGTTAAGGGTGCCAGATTAATAGCATAAACTGTCACTTTCTAAGCTGTGTTTGATGCTATTGTTGATGCTAATTGTATCACTTGGGTTAACATGTCGTGATTGATCTAATTAGTTGCCCTTCCTGGTATACTGAAATTGAGATTGCCTAAAAGATATTAGAGACTCCAAATCTAAAGACCAGTTATACTTGGAAGACACCTCTGAGAAGCAATCATCCCATAAGTGTTCTAAATACAAGCAATAAAGATACTCCCAAAAAGCAATATTGAAGGATCAACCAAGGAATTAAACCAAAAAGAGAATCAACAACAAAAATAGAAATGAGAAGACACCTAAAAGGCACAAACCAAGACTTTCAGCTCACCAAAGGCAAATTCTGGGCGCAAAGAGGTAGACAAATCTGATAATCAACCACCTCAACTGATAGCATGGAAAGTGACGAGACAGATGAACAAAATTCTAGAAAAATTGAAAACAGAAATAATTTCCCAGATAACTAAAGAGATGGTGAACAGAATGAAAGACATGATTAGAGACTCTAGAACACAAACAGATAAAAAAAAAATAGAAGCACTCAGGACAATGATGAACTCAGGAATCCCTGAATGCCCTGAATAGGGAAAAAATAGAAACCATGAATGCCAATGTCGGAAAGAAATGGAATCCTTACCAAGATTACAAACTCCACTGAAAGTATTCATAGCAGAATGAATCAATGTAAGGATAGAATATCCATTAGAGAAGACAGTATTGTGATTAGTGACCATGAAAAGAGATTTCTTGAAAGTAGAAAGGGGCTATGAGAAATTGATCCAATAGTTGCTACATGGCATAAAGAAGAATAATATGAGACTGATAGAAGTCCACTAAAAAACAGGGGAAAATACAAATGACATTAAAAAAAACTTTTCACAGAATGATAGAAAAACTTCTAAAGCAGAGGAAAATAATTTGACATACAGATAAGTGAGGTATGCAGGACTTCCACTAGACATGATCAAAGACAGTCTATACCTAGACATATAAAAGTCAAGATTCCAGAAACTCAACAGAAGAACAAAATACTACAAGCAGTTAGAGAAAAGAAACAAATCACATACAAAGGAAAACCGATTAAAATCACAGTAGATTTTTCAACACAAAACCTCAAGGAGAGCCTGAGTGAGGTATTTCAAGTCCTAAAGGAAGGGCTAACGGTGTAGGGAAGGTAGGATGAGTAGGGGAATGGTAATAAGGGGAAAGAAAAAAATTGTGAGAAAATGAAAAGATGGAAATAAAGTGTTTGTAAATGGGGAGGGGGAGAAGGGGGTGAAGGGAGTGCAGGGACAAGGGGAAAAATGAGAACCAAGACCTGTCATGTAGAGGTACAAGATCCAAACAATGAATGTAACTGTGCTGTATCCCTAAAATGTACCAATAAACTCAATTAAAAAAAAAAAAGCAACCTCCAACGTAGATTGATGTATCCTGCAAAACTCTTTCAAAATCAATTGGGAAATAAGATAGCTCTGCAACAAAGAACACCTGAGAAACTTCATAAATACCAAATCAGCACTCCAAACAATTCTTAACAATATCCTAGAAAAAAGCAATGAGGGTCACAACTCCCTGAGACCCAACAGAGTGAAGCCTTCAGACAAGGCCAGAAATTAAAGGAAAAGGGGAATAAAATAAAATATAAAATAACTAATAACAGGAAAATATAAGGATAAGCCATTACATATCATCTATAACCTTCCAAGTTAATGGCCTTAATTCACCAATGAAAAGAAATACGTTGCTAGAATGGATTAAGAAGCAAAATCCAACAATATGCTTTATAAAAGAAACATACTTAGTTCAAAAGGAAATTCATAGACTGAAAGTAAAAAGATGGAAAACAATTCTCCATGTGACAGGAACCCAGAAAGCTGGGTAGCTATCTTATTGGCAGACAAAGTACATTTCAAACCAAAACTAATTAAGAGATAGAAAGAAGATCATTACATTCTTATAAAGGGAACAATCAAAGAGGAAGAAATGACAATCATAAATATATATGCACCAAATACTAGTGCACCCAACTATATAAAACAAATATTAATGGACATGAAAAACCAAATAAACACTACTACAGTTGTGGTCGAGGACCTAACTACCAAACCATCACAAATAGACAGATCATCTAGATAGAAAATCAAGAACAAAACACTAGAACTACACCAAACTTTTGAACAAATGGACTTAATAGATGTCTACAGAATATTCTACCCCACAAAATCAGAATACACATTCCTTTCAGATGCACATGGGTGATTCTCTGAAATAGACCATGAAAAAAAATTGCAGTTTATTATCAGACCATAGTGCAATGAAATTGGAGATCAATAGCATAAGAAACTGCAAGAACTTCACAAACACACAGAAATTAAATAGCACTCTCCTGAACAACCAGTGGGTCACAGAGGAAATTAAAGAAGAAATTAAACAGTTTGTACAATTAAATGATAATGCCAATACAACACGCAGGAATCTATGGGACATAAGGAAAGCAGTTCAAGGAGGGAAACTCATAGCAGCGAAATACTATGAAAAAAAATACTAGGAAAACAGAAAAGAATGAGCTCAAATAAACAACCTAATGCTGAACCTCAAGCTCCTCAAAAAAGAAGAGAAACAAAAGCACATACAAGGGAGGAAATTATAAACATCAGAGCAGAAATCAAATGTAATGGAGACGAAGAGAACAATACAAAAAAAAAATCAATGAACTAGGACTAGAGGTTCCATTTGACCCAGCTATCCCTTTGCTGGGTATCTTTCCAAAAGAAAAGAATCATACTACAGCAATATATGCATGCCCATTTTTATAGCAGCAGTTTCTAATAGCTAAAACTTGGAAACAACCCAACTGCCCATCAGTGGAGACTGGATAAATAAGATGTGGTTTTTCTACAAAATGGAATACTACTCAGCCATAAAGAATGAGAAACTATAGTCATTCATAGGAAAATGAATGTATATTGAAGCTATACTCTTAAGTGAAATAAATAAGACACACATGTGTAAATATTGAATAGTTTCTCTGGTGTGAAAAACAAAAGTGTAAATAAGATCCAAATTGTATAACTGACAATGTGAAACAGGAAGAAAGGGCCTAAAGGTGTAGGGGAAGGTGAAGGATAGGGGAAAGAAAATAAGGGAAAAGAAAAAATATGAGAAAAGAAAATAATGAAAACAAAGTCTTTGTGAATAAGAGGTGGGGAGTGCAAGGTGGGCAGGGGTATGGGGAAAAAATGAGAACCAAGATCTGTCATGTAAAGGTACAGGATCCCAATGGTAAATGTAACTGTACTGTATGCTTAAAAAGTACCAATAAACTCAATGAAAAAAAAAAAACAATTAATGCAAACAAGAGTTGGTTCTTTGAAAGAATGAATAAAATTGACAAACCCTTAGCTAATCTTATCAAGAAAAGGAAAGGCTCAAATCCATTCAATTAGGAATGAAAAGAGTGAAATCAAAACAGATACAGCAGAAATCCAGAGGATCATCAATACCTACTTTGAAACCCTGTATTCCAATAAAATGGAAAATACAGAGAAATAGACAGAATCTTAGATACATATAAATTACCAAAGTTGAATGAAGAAGATAGTTCTAAACACCCCAATTTCAATCAGTCAAATTGAAAACATAATTAAAAATTTACCAACATAGAAAAGGCCAAGTCCTGATGGTTTGAATGCTGAATTCTACAAGAAATTTAGGGAAGAGTTAATCCCACTACTTCTCAAGCTTTTTAATGAAATTGAAAGGGAAGTGATACTCCCACATTCATTCCTGGATACAAGCATTACTTTGATTCCAAGAGCAGAGAAAGACAAAACCAAAACAGAGAACTAAGGCCAATCTCCCTAATGATCAAAGATGAAAAAATCCTCAGTAAGATACTGGCAAACAGAATACAAAGGATCATCAAGAAGATCATATACCCTGACCAAGTTGGATTTATCCCAGGGACAGAAGGATGGTTCAACATACACAAATCAATAAATGTAATAAACTATATTAATAGAGTCAAGGACAAAAAACATGTGATCATCTCAATAGATGCAGAAAAGCATTTGACAAAATCCAAAATCCATTCAAGATAAAACCCCTGCAGAAAATTGGAATAGATTGTCTTTATCTCAATCTGATAAAGGCTATCTGTGAAAAACCAATAGCCTACATTATACTAAGTACGTAAAAACTGAAATCTTTCTGGCTAAAATCAGAAAGAAGACAAGGATGTCCACTATCACCACTCCTGTTCATTATTGTTCTAGAAACATGAGCCACAGCAATTAGACAAGAGAAAGAAATAAAAGGAAAAAAGATAGGACATGAAGAAGTTAAACAGTAATTATTTTCTGGTGACATGATACTCTTCATAGAATACCCATAAAATGCTGCTGAAAGAGTTCTAGACTTAACTGACAGATTCAGTAGACTAGCTGGATGCAAGGTCAGCACTATAAAATCAATAGTCTTCTTATACACAAATAACAGACTCACTAAGAGATAAATTGGAGAAAATTCCTTTGACAATAGCATCCAAAGAATGAAATATCTAGGAAACAATCTAATGCAGGAAGTAAAAGACCTCTAACTTGAAAACTACAGAATTCTTTAAAAAGATATTGAAGAGGAAATAAGAAAATGGAAAAACATTCCTTGTTCCTGGGTAGGAAGAACCAATATAGTACAAATGGCCATATTT